AAGAGATGCCTCTAACTTATATACGAAATATTAACTAAGAGATTCATAACATCCCTCATAACTACAAGACCCGACAACAAGTTAGGATATGTCATGTTTTATCATGATGTCATAGAAGTTGTCCCTTTGATTTAATAAATGCAATTTCAAAGAGGGGAATTTTGAAATATAGGCAAGGTTAATATGAGGTATCATGGCAACAGTATCAGACAATTGCCTCTGTATCAGTATACCACCAGGTGAATGAAATACTGGCCATGGACATGGTCAAACTGACCCGATTAATCCCAGCAGACGGACAAACACCGTCCATTTAATTCCTAATTTGTCCCTCTAATATCTCTTAAAAACTGAATAAAACAAATAAAATCTTAGCATTATCGATTAGATGATCTAGTATGTTCAAGCATTTCCAGGGTTTTCTTACATTTGTGGGATTTTAAGACAGAAACACAACCACTGTATCATGTTGATGAAGGATTTGATGAATGTTAAAGGTTTCCATATAACCATTGTGATAAGAGGAACCAATTAATAATGTTGTTATCTCACTGCTGAGGTTTCTCCATATAAACATTACATTCAAATAACTTACCTTAACTCCCATTGGCTAGTGAAATACGCTCCGACTGATTCCTATCGGCTAGTGAAATACCCTCTGACTGATTCCCATAGGCTAATGAAAGACCCTCTGACTGATTCCCATTGGCTAGTGAAATACACTCTGACTATTCCTATCGGCTAGTGAAATACCCTCTGACTGATTCCCATAGGCTAATGAAATACCCTCTGACTGATTCCCATTGGCTAGTGAAATACCCTCTGACTGATTTCCATTGGCTAGTGAAATACCCTCTGACTGATTCCCATTGGCGAGTGAAATACCCTCTGACTGATTCCCATTTGCTAGTGAAATACCCTCTGACTGATTCCCATTGGCTAGTGAAATACGCTCTGACTGATTCCTATCGGCTAGTGAAATACGCTCTGACTGATTCCCATTGGCTAGTGAAATACACTCTGACTGATTCCCATTGGCTAGTGAAATAACCCTCTGACTGATTCCCATAGGCTAATGAAATACCCTCTGACTGATTCCCATTGGCTAGTGAAATACCCTCTGACTGATTTCCATTGGCTAGTGAAATACCCTCTGACTGATTCCCATTGGCTAGTGAAATACACTCTGACTGATTTCCATTGGCGAGTAAAATACCCTCTGACTGATTCCCATTTGCTAGTGAAATACCCTCTGACTGATTTCCATTGGCTAGTGAAATACCCTCTGACTGATTTCTATTGGCTAGTGAAATACCCTCAGACTGATTTCCATTGGCTAGTAAAATACCCTCTGACTGATTTCCATTGGCTAGTGAAATACCCTCTGACTGATTCCCATTGGCTAGTGAAATACCCTCCGACTATAACAGATAGTTTGATAGTCTTGATGCTGATAAGATCTTAATAATAAATGATCTCAAATGCAGTTTTCATGGCATTTCATTGGTGATATCTACTTATTGACAGATAATGTAGTATCTTGATTTTCTGCCCCTAAAATTGGATAGTTCAATAACTTATCTCTCATTAAAAGGGACAGACAGATTGGAACTCTTGCTGTGCTGTAAAGGGATTGATCTATATTTTCAGAGAAAGGTGAACGTTTGCTTAAAAAATAATTTTTTGATAAGTGAAACATTTTTGGCTCTGTAACAATATCATTTTGTTTCTAGTTTTGAGCCTGTAGTATGCATCATTTATCATTTAAAGGAGTGAACTACAAAGTGAATGGGTTAGAACATACAGATTTTCAATGAGGCAATATATTGTTCTGACAATTTCACAATGAGGTAATATAATTGAGGTTTGAAGGTGGTTAGACTGCGATATTTAACATTATTTAACCAAGACATAATTGCTCTATAACCACATTGATGAACTAATGTCTATAGCTCCTACACTCTTGCAATGAAGAGAGATTCTGACAGATCAGAATGACACTGGGCCAATGAACGACTACTCCACTACTTTCCACAAAAAGAGATGCATATTTTGGATTATTTGAATAACTGAGTGATTTATTAACATTTCTATTATATTCTATATATTGATAATATGCCATTATTGTTGCTTAATATGTTTTCAAACACGACCACCATTACATTTTCATTTTCCAACTACAAGACTATGTATAGGTTTGAATTACAAGGGTACATGTAAATGGAGTCCATCCAGCTACTTGGGGCCATTGTGCCCTTACTGTTATGGGAGTACCATGACATTTCACTTGGGGCAGTGTCACCGTCATCGCTCCTTGAGTAGCAGAACATGCCGTTCAAGTTCAATTGTAAGCATGTTATCTCAAATTGATGAAAACAAAACATACATTTCACTGACAAACCCTAGATTTTCCAGAGACAACAATCAATTTCAAAACAATAAAACTGTCTCAGCTTCAATAGGAGTTGATTGCTTTAATTTAATAATCCAACCGATTCGTCATGCATGTATATTTGAAATGTATACTACAAGAGGAAAGGATTATCATCTTCAATGCTTCTGTAACTGAAGGCAACATGTCACTGAACTGTAGACTTGCCAACTTAATCTAGAATTTGACATACTGTTTTTCATTTGAAATACCTAGACATGTATCATGATAAAGCGTGTAATCTTCTCTTCTTTTCGATATGTTGCAAACAGAAAGATGTGATCAGTGTAGCTAAGAATGGGAATTCAAAAGAATGGAGGTGTCAATGTGAGTTGAATATATATTTCTTCTAATCTCCAACTTTTGTTATTTCATTACAATCCAAAAAAACTAGAGATCAACGACCTGATAGAACTGCCATCCAGAAGTCAACCATCGGTGGAAGGCTTTCGAATCTAATTTTAACTTGATCACAAGGGATTATATGAATGAGTTTGATTGGATAAAACTTCTTGCATAAAAAGAATTCAATGTTGGTTCATTAATGATTATACTATAATTTTGATTTCAGTATAAGTAGATAGGATTACTGTGAAATATGTAACTGTAATTTTCAAGGGAGATGGGTACAGAATTGAGTGGTGCTAATGGTCGCAAGTATTTGATTATCCGATTATTGTGATCAATTCTAGTGTCTACTTCAATGGGCGACTACTTATTTTGTAATTCGCTCGCATAATTTCATTCAATTCCTCCATGTATTGTAGCGAGTGCTAATTTGGCCAATTGTTACTTGCAAAATTCAATTTCAACGCCTGTGTTTTCAAGTTTACAAAGTGCAAATTATTGCAATACCCAACAGTGTCTTTTGAACATGTAAAATGAGTTCTCGGGGGGTCTAAAGGTGACCCTCTGTCTGGTTATACAAAAAGGCTACATGCTTTTTGTAAGGTTAAGGCCAGTGTAAGAAGGGAAAACCTCCTATATTTCCATGATTCTATCCTAATTATGTTCTAAGAAATGTTTTAAATAAGAAGAAAATCACAGAATAACACTTGATCCCCAAGGCTCCATATATAAGTATATTGTAAAATATTATATAAATATAGTTATGACATAATTCTTGGCTTGTGTAATGATCAAAGCATCATATTGGGAATTTACAACAATATACAGTAGTTACTCATCAAATTGCATGATTTTACTGAATCATATAATTATATTGCATTAATTTCTTCACAGGTTGGATGAAATCAGACCAAATCAAAGAATTCATTTCTTAATATAGTTCTGTGTAAATTATTGAGTAAATTGTCTTGGTTAATAAGATCATGTAACTGATATAAACCAATCACATAACAGAGTAACACTGATGAGTAATAAAATTTGCTTTATCTGAGACCCATTTAACATATAACAAGTCCAGGGTGAAATGTCTAGGGGGTGAACTGCCTGGAGGGATGAAATGTCCAAGGGTTTAAATAAGTAGGGGGTGAACTGTCAAAGGGGTGAACTGTCAAAGGGGTGAACTGTCAAAGAGGTGAACTGTCAAAGGGGTGAACTGTCAAAGGGGTGAACTGTCAAAGGAGTGAAGTGTCAAAGGGGTGAACTGTCAAAGGAGTGAAGTGTCAAAGGGGTGAACTATCCAAGGGGCGAAATGTCTAAGGGGTGAAATGTCCAGGAGGTGAAATGTCTAATGGGTAATATGTCCAGGAGGTGAAATGTCTAAGAGGAGGTGAAATGTCTAAGGGGTGAAATGTCCAGGAGGTGAAATGTCTAAGGGATGAAAAGTCCAGGGTGAAATGGTTAAGGTTTGAAACATCCAGGGGATGAAATGTCCAAAGGGTAAAATGTTTTGGTACCAATTAAACTCACATGGGAGCAAATATTCTCAAAGATTCAACCTTTCCAAAAACATTTTATAATAAACTCATCTACATGTTTTAAAATATCTGACTTTATTTATTCGGAATGTGCTTACAATATGATTGTTTGAGTTGTTTATTTGTAAGAGAATAATAATAAAAAGTATGCACTTCGGATAGGCTTGAAACAATAGTAGAGGCCTAAGCTACAGACAATCACTATAAATAGAGTATAACAGCTGAAAAAGATATAAATGACTTCAAAATACAGCTGACTTTTGATGTCCATTTTCAAGACTGAACGTGCAATGTAAAAAAAAGTTTAAAAATAATATCTTGTAATCTCAAAACTGAAATGAATCTTTTTGCTTTTAATGTTCTTCTTTTCTACACAATTCAGTTTCAATGAGGACTACGTTGACATGCCTGTTTACTTTATTCCTTTGTCATATGCAGAATTCAATATAAAAATGGACAACTGTTGAAAAATTCTATGACATGGTACAATACAGTACTGTTATAATTATATCTATTTATAATTATTCACATATTTCAATAGAGAATGCAATGCAATAAAATCTACATAGGTACCAACAATGACAAACATTCATCAGGTATTATAACTCCACTATACTGCATTGCAATCCCTGAAGAAATAACAAATGAAATACAACAATGGTTATCACAGTAAAGTAAAAACTTACCCAGCTATCACAATAAACATATCAAGACGATTCCATGTCTCTGCGAGGTAAGTGTCTTTTCCAACAACACCCATCGCGATTAATTTGATGATCATCTCAATGGCAAAGAAAGCAAAGATGAAGTGGTCGAAGATGGCGAGGATCTTGCAGCGAGTAGTATCGCAGATGACATCATTACAAGGCTGGTACATCCCCAGGGTGAGGCAGTTTAGAAGTATGACACCCATACTGAGTCGCTCAAACCATGTATACAAGGTTAAGGATCATATCATAATGCATCATAAACTGCCACCAATGTTTTTCAACTTTGGCAGTCACTACATGTGTATTTTGTATGTATTAAAATTGAATAAAGAAGAATAAAAAATAAATAAATAAAAAATAATGCATAATGATTAGAATTAATTATATCTACAGATATTACAAAACATGGTGAAACGAGAATACCAAAAAACAAGACATTAGGCAAACCCAATATTACTACATATACCTGGAAAGAATAATAATTGTTTAAGATGCTAATGCTGAATGCCAGTCACAGAAAATAGTTGTTGGCATAAACGGAAATAATGCACAGGAAGAAAAACATCCTGATAGTATTATGCAAATTCTTGTGTTATGAAGAAGTAAAAACAGTAAATCATTCAATGATATTACATCATAGTACTAAGAACTAAGGTCTGCCTTGCATCTCTTGGTGTTAACATCTGAAATAACTTATGTGAGATATTTTTTTAGCAATTTACCAGGATATTTTAGACTTCTCACAGTAAGAGCAGATGTGATACTGAAGGTGTGTTACGCCATCGTCAACAAAACACACACCTTAGGCTACAATAGGTTAATTGTCTTTTTAGCAAGATTTTTTAGTAAAAAATAACCAGGTGGGGAAGCTTTTTTTCATATTCTAATTTCTCCAAAATAGAAAAAGACATGTCAAAATTAGGGAACATGTGTAATATCCTGCAATTCTAGGACAATTGAATGGGAGGATTTGGTATTACAGACATGAACCGACATTTTAATTTTGAACAGCCTTACGGAACTTTAAACAGGAAATCACATGAATTAATATTTTCTTGGATGTTATGCATCAAGAAAGCATTGATGTGAACTTTCAGTTAATATTCTTCCTATTTGAGGTAATATATTAGATAAACTCATTCATACCCTGAGCTCTTCAACTAACCTCTGACAAGAACTGATTATTTTACAGAGAGTACTACAGATGAGGAATGGCACTGATTGGCTCGATGGTGTAGAGGTTTATTGGTTATGAAAGAGTATGGAATTATTCCAATCACTTTTCCAAAGGATATCATTTCCAATGTCATTATACACTATGATGATACTGTCATGTAACATTTATCAATCAATCATGAAATAAATTCACAAAGAAAACAACATATTTTTATGGAGATAAAATAAAAATAAATCAGAAAAACAGTTAGAATTGCTAACACGCTCCAATAGATATTCTACCTTTGTTATAAATAAATCTCATGTTGGAATTGTACGTAAATCTGTCTAATAAAAAAATATGACATAACAGAACTTTACACACTGCCTTTAATAGTTCAAACCCTATTCATTTTGCCATATGTTATATTGATTTCATCATACTGAACTATGAGAGCTTTATGAATACAAGAAACTCAAAATATTTTTTTATTGTACAAACCATAGAATTTTATGACAATCATAAATATTATGAATGTCTACAATTTCATGATTAATATAATATCTCAGCTTTACAATTTGATTATATCTATTTTTAGTATATAGAAGATCTCGCACCATTAGTATAATAAGGTTCTAAGTGGCTCAAACCATGTTTTGAGAAAAACAGGATTGAAGTTTGGGACTTTGATAACTTTTTTTCTATTTATTGTAGGTCATCAAGATTTTGGGAGTTGGTTAATGACATGAAACCCTCCCTTTTAGTGAATTTTTGTTAAAATTGACATTGTACATCTGGTTTTTTAAGCAAAAGTCAAAATGCAAATAGAACCTTTTACTGACAAAAGCTAATCAAGTTCTTAATTTGTTGCATATAGAACTTATTTTGCCATTCATTCCATCGGGGGAAAAGTATTTTGATCAGAATCAAAATACAACAATGTCATTTTGATTTCATGTTGTCTAATTAATAACAAAATTAATATATGAAAAAAGAAAAATATATATTTCTAAAAAATACAAAAATATATATTTCTAAAAATTACAAAAAGAACTAGTAAGTCCTGACATGTCATCATAAATTAAGCATCGATATCAAAATATTGCACAATTACACTGTATCATCAAACAAAACTCTGCAATTGCAGTATTGAAACTTACCATGCATAAATATGCAAATTAATAAAATATTTCACTGTCATCAGAAAATATCTTAATACATATCATGTTCAGGTTTAATGTACAGGGTGGTCAAAACGGGACCGAAGAAAAGTTTAATAACTTGGTCAATCTTGCATATTTTGTCTTGAATTTAAAAACCCAATAAATGAAGTACATGATTCTGAAATTTCAAGGCAAAATATACAAAATTGACAAAGTAATTCAACTCTTCTTCGGTCCTGTTTTTGACCACCCTGTATTTATAAATCCTAAACTGCTGGCAAATATAAAAATAAACTTTAAAATGAAAATATCCGTATCCTTATACAAGGGTATCCTCCATACACCAATTAACTTAATGGCCTTAACCAATAGATCAGCAGTAATGACTCATGAAACACTTATAAGGTAGTGTAATAAAATACCCTTGTTAAGTTTAAAAAAACAAAGAGCATGGATATTATCTTCATCACCATATATATAAAGTTTGATTGTCCATGATTTTACTTCCTAGTGTATCTTATGGTGTTTCTTTTAACGTTCACGTTTTGATTTCATAAATTATGTGGTTCATAACTTTGGCACACACTTTCCATGTATATAATATATAAAGAATACACTATCATGGGCATTATCTTCACTACCACTTCATGGTTAACATTTACTTTATCCTTAATTTTCCTTATGTTTCATATGCTGTTTCTTTTGCTTTCTGAATTGATTTTTTACTGTATATATACTATAAAAATACTCTTATGGACATTACAGTATCTTCACTTTTACACTATCACTTATGTTTGCTTGTCCATAATTTTACTTTCTAATATTTCTTATGCTGTTTCCTCTTACTTTCTAGTTTTAATTCTAGTTTTTTCTAGTTTTTTTGATTCATTACTTTGGTACACACTTCCATCTATAAAGAAAACACTCTTATGTTTTATCTTCACATATGGCATTATCATCACCACTGTATTATCATTGTTAAAGTGTGCATGTCCATATTTTTTCTTTCAATGTTTCTACTGCTTTTTCTTTTTGCTTTTAAGTTTTGATTTTACACTTTCTGATTTTTCACTTTGGCACACACTTTCCATGTATTTTTTGTCGAAAGGTGGCATAAACTTCAGCATCGATTTAAGGTCAGTGATTTTTTCTTTGGCTAATACAGGGACCCTTCTTACAGGCTTCACACATTGGGGTTTATAGTACTTGGTTGGTGTGTTTTCGACACACATTCTTTTTCTTCTATAGCTGCTGACTGTAGGACTCACTTCAATCAAAGGCTGATCAAAACTTGTAGTATATCTAACAGTATCCTTCTCATATGTAATGTGCTTCACTTTCGTGTATGGAATATGCCTATATGACGTGTACTTTGATGCAGTTTTATAGTCCATAAAGTCCTCTTTAGACATATTTATCATTTTATATGGTTCTCTACCAGCATGTTGTATGATTTTCTTCATTGTTGGTGGGCTATATATTTCTTGTTTACTCATCGCTCTTTCGATTACTGAGTGGATTGAATCAACTTCTTGAATTTCTGAGTGGTTCGGTGCCCCAAACTTTTGGTGGATTTTCAGATCTCTATCTTCTTGTTTCTGAATTACATCACTTATTGCGGAGCTTACAATTGAATTTCTGTTCTGCCCCACGCAGCTATCTGACCACATCACTATTTCTTCAATATTCTCATGTTCAGCTATCACATGGTTCAATACAGCAACAACACCACTGGCAATTTCATTGCTTCCCCTCCCAGCAATGCTTTCGTCCCATACACAACATATCCCATTGGTAGCCTTTCCTATTTTGACATGAAAAGTCAGATTGTAGACTGACAACTTTCGTTTGTAATAAAATGATCCGATTTCAGCTTTTGGGCAGAGTAATACATTTTCAAGATCAAAACAAATGAAAGCCTCTTTCATACTATCTCTACCTCGATCATTCACTCTTTCCTTGTGACTGAGATCCTTGTCTTTCTTATGGGCTTCATATTTCCCCTTTATCTCTTCATCTACTGAGTTTGTATTTTGTTTTATGTTATACTCTTCACACGTGTTACACAAATCACCTCTAGGTGGTCTAAATCCATAATTGAACTCTTTGCAAAATATGCTTCTGTATGTGTGTAATTTAACAGGTGTTTTATCTGTGTTCATATAAAGAGAATGCATCTTAACGATGTTAAGTGTTGGCTCTAGATACTTCCTCTTGGTTTGACTCCGTCGATAATGTGACTCAACCACAGGAAAGGATCGAATGTGAGAACGTACTTCATCTTTCACTTCTTGGGGAATTGCTCTTTTTGTGTGTTTTCCCTGTTTTGTTTCAACTGGAATCCCATTCTGTTGAGTGCTAGCATAAATGTTTGATACTTTCTTTTGTGAAATTGACAATGTGGTTAAGTAAAATTCTTTACATACTCTTACGTTTTCTTCATTCACCTTTAGAAAGTATTTAATGCTATGCTTTCGTCGACTTTCAGCGGCATCTGATTTTTTGCGCAGTGTAAATGAATGTTTTGTTGTGTTATTTATGAAGTGTCGCTTGTCTTCTTTGCTTAACTTATAGTAACCCTCATGAATTTCTTTCCTTATTTTATCATGTATGTTAAGGGCACACTTAAACTTACAAAGACCTCTGCAGTCCTTAGTTGTTTTGATTATCTTTCTTGGACGTATATTACCTTTACTATCAGTATACTCAAGGCCAGCCTCCCTAAGTCGTTGCCGTATATTACATTTCCAGTTTGCTTTGTTTCTTAACCTTTTACGAGACCCATGAGTGTGATCATAAGATGAAGATGAATTACTCAATGCACTACTCACTGATCCAGGTTTGTTTTGCTGACTCATGTTTGGCTCATCTACACCTGCACATC